TTTTTTTTTTTTTTTTTTTACAAATAAAGGACATTACATATCAGTGAATGGTACTCGCAGTGCAAAAATGGCTTACTCTGAGCGGTACTTCCTCAAGTAAGCTAGGAAGAGACGATATGTGCGCTCAATGTCCAAGGCAGATTACAGTTGGAGGATTTTCCCGTGCTGGCTGAGTTGAGGTTTTATCCTGGTGGTACTGGGGCCTTGTGCCGATCATCTGGATGTTCGTGATGTTTTACACGAAAGTCCCTTGTGCGTTATTATGGTTATGGTCGAGGCGAAAATGAAAATTTGTATAAAGAGTTTTTTCTATTTTCGTTTCTGGCACCTTGTAATGCAATAAAAAGCAAAGAGCTGTGGCAGTCATTTGCGTATTCTTTTGTTTTTAGCAAAATTTAGCACCTCCAAAATACGGTAAAATTTAGCACTTCATTATCGTCTCTCCCTTCACAGTTTAATTTAGATCACTTTAAAAATTGTAGATGATCAAAGATTGCTAAAAAAGCCCCTTATCGGCGCGTGCGGACATTCATTTTGCTGCTCAAACATATAACCATATGTATATGCACAAAACAGAAACAGCAACTTATCCTTTGCAACCTCATTCTATTTCTGACTCGGAAACTTGCAGTCCAACGAAATTTCGCATTTTCTATAAAAACGGATTCTTCGAGTAGTAAAAAATTAGCTAAACAGTGACTATGAGGAAGTAAACAACCACTTGGGCACAAGACAGGAGACAAGCTGAAGCGTAGTTCCGAGACGTTCCGGTCCAGTAAGTTAGCTGCAGGTTTTTGCACAAACGTAACTGCATCGGATTCGAATTTCCCTTCAAAAATTATTGTTGCAACAGGTTAGGCCAGTCTAGCCCAATAAGCCATCGTGCAAGCTTTCGTATGTAGCCTTCGGGATCATCGCTAACATCAGCACTCTGCCGTCCGTTAACGGTACCCTGGAATGGCCTAATGCCGGATTCGGCACTTTCGATTAGCTGTACAATTGCACCATCCAGTGTTATCTGCACGGCACGTCCAATTATTCCACGCTTGAGCAATCGCAGTCGTCGATCACCGGACGGGAATTGCACATGATAAACCTGAACTGGAATTGCTGGATCCACTGATTTATTTAAAATTCTTTTGGCGAGGAGTCACGCGCCCTCTTTAGAATCAATGTGAAGTAAGATTTTAAAAAAAAGTGATTGTGAGCAGCACTTCAAGAAGCCGCCATTAACTAGAAGCCTGAATTTTCGTGTATAATCTAATAAAAAGGTAGAATTTGGCCAGGAACGACGACAGTGGTACGAGGAAACGGATGTATAGGAAATAAACGCCTCGCCAAAGTGTCACGAAAGATAGTACGAAGATTGAGATTGATGAATATGTTTCCCGGATAAGGAATA